CACCGTGGGCAGGTCGTGGCAAGCGCGGAAGGAATCGCCCGGGGCCAAACGGAAGTCAGATACTCGAATACCTCGGAGCTTCACCATGTCATAGGGACCCCACAATAAGGACCTAATCCGGCCTATTTTTCGGAAGTATTGTCCGCACCCCCCGAAGGGTCTCTATGACCATTTTTTCCCACCCGCCCAGCTTAGAGACGATGGGTCCCAGTGTTGCCATAGACTCTAATATCCCTTAACTATGGAATATACTTTAGGGTTCCTGTAAGGGATCTACAGGGTTTGGGGGTTCTCATATCCCTTAATTAGGGAATATGATCCCGCTACGTTTTAAGGCATATTCTTCATTAAGTTGGAGGCTCTGGGTTTCCTAGCTAGGACCAGCCTTCATTGCTGGGCTAATGGTTTAGGGGGTGTAGGGTCTGGAATGCAGGGCTTCGTGCTTGGGGGTTTGCGGTTAAGGTTTTGATCGAATGAGGTGCAAGGTAAAGTGACCAAAGGGCATTTTCCCATTCCAGAGCTAGACTGCCTGAGCTTTTTGGGAATATCGTCTGGTACATGAAGAATTCTTCCTACATGCTCATATTACAAAGCCCTAGACAAAACTTGCAGCACACAAAACCAGAGCCCAGCCAGAAGACACCAAGTCGCGGTCGTTGTCGAAAAGGAGTCGAACCGGGTCAGACTTTTCGCCGCCTTCGGCCATGCGTGTGACCTTCTTGTCTTCGGGTCGGGTGGGTGGGCGGGCGGGTGGGTGGGTGGGTGGGTGGGCGGGCTTGTTGGTTGTTGGTGTATGCTTCTTTGTTTGAGGAGGGGGGATGTTGATATGGGTGTTGTTATTTACGAATGGGTTTTTGGATGGCTTGTACAGCAGCTATACAAAGGTTTGCGTTTTTTTAGAAATATGGTGGCACATTTAAATCGGTATGGTCTTACGGGCTGCTGGGCTTTTCTGTGGCGGGGGATAGTGTGTTTAGGCTTTGGGTTTATGGGATTTGGTTGGGCAGACCGGGGGGTTTGCACAAAGGCGTGAAACAGCCATTAAGAGACAGTAAACACGCGCACATATAAGCACTTCCTTTACGGACGTTTGATGTTAGGATTCCTATCGTAACCCTTACTAAGGCATGCATGGTTTCAGGGGTCTTTATTCTACATATAGAACTTTGGGTTGGCAGTGAGGGCTTCCAGGCTTTTGCATTCCGGAGTTGAGAACCAGACATACCGAAGTAGCAAGATGTAGCAAGTTTCGCGAGGCGGCAGGGGTGGGGATGCATCCATGGTCAAGTCTAAGAACACTGAAATGCCAACAGCAGTCGCAATGCACGCGGCGTACAACAGCGATTGCAGCTCCTGCTGAATACATGGAAATGGACGAGGGTATTGACATACTTCAGAGTTCCCAATCCATTATTGATTCAGAGTGGCAATCATCGAAACTGGGAAAGATAACCAATGGCCACCCTACACCGTAGACCCTAAACCCCCCAATCTTCGCACCCAGGTCTCTGATGCTAGCTAGGCTGGGATCTTACACCCTGTATCTAATCCTCAAGGAATCCCTAGAGCAACCCTCAAGACAACCCTGAACGGACCCTTAAAGGAACCCACAAGGAGCCGTTAACGCCTTAATGGGACCCTCGTTGGAAACCCTAGAAGAACCCCTTTTGGACCCTTAAGTCCATTTCAACCGAGAGGCTTTCTCTGTAAGATGCCGTTTTGGAGGGGACCTCCAGCCCGCAAATGCCTGCGTCCCCCGCTCTACGCAGGCTCTGACAGAGGGCTGCACTCGCGTTTATGGTCAAAGTGTCGTTTCTCTTCCTGGTCACGAGGGTCTTGTTAGGATTATAAGTAGGACTGCAAACATAAACCAAGGTATCCAAGTCAGTACAACACCGCTGCGTCTAGGGTGGAGTTTTAGGTGGGGCACTGAAACTCGAAAACCACGCCTCCCCAGCTCCCAACAGCTTGAACCCATCCTCTGTACAACTTTCAATTCAGGGTCTGGGGGGACTCTGGGGTTTATAAGATCCAACGCAGAAGGGGTGCCGCGGTCTGCGCCCGACGGCCAGGGACGAAGAAACGAAGTACCGTCACCGCGGCCAGAAGCCGGAGCAGCGCGCGCATGCTCCGATTCACAGATTTCCGTCGTGCTTACGAGGGTCTCTTGCCTCTGTAGAGTTTAAGGTGCACAGAACCCTAAACCATAAACATTGTTTGTGTATCTCGCGAGGCCGTTGTTGTGCGCAACTTGCTGGTTATGTCGGTTCAGAAGTGCTTCGCAGTTCCGCAGCAGTACCAAAACTTGCTGCAATTGCTATCGTGGAACTACTCACAGCCTTGGCAAACGCTGAGCTTTTGACGTTCAGCACTTGTGTGTGTGAGTGTGCATGTATGTGTGTACGGTGTGTACGTGCATGTAGGCAAACATAAAGAAAGATTACGGAATTACATATACTGCCTGTATATGTGTATGTAGATGTATATATATATATATATATATGTGTGTGTGTGTGTATATGTGTATATGTACATACATGGAGATGTTGACGTACATGTAAACGTATGTGCATACATATGTATGTGTGTGTCTGCGTGTATGTACGTATGTATATACACAATTCATACGTAGCAAGCACTTCAAGAAACCTACAAAACTCATGAGTAGTCTATTCCAGGAACTCTGGTCGTTCAGAAACGGCATTTGCAGCGCAAACGTGCGACCTGCGGTGCATGAAAAGAATAGCCTGGTGTCACGACCGGGCATCCTAAACCGATCAAGCCCATTCTGCACTTGGAGGTTCATGGGTAGTTATAAGTAATTAGGGTAAACAGCGCCTCGGAACCCCAACCATGTCCGAACTCGAGCCCCCAAACATCCCTGAATTTCCCCCAAGGGTCCATGTACCCAAATGGAGATACATGAGCCCGGAAGTACCTTTGCAGGGACTACATTAAGGCCAATGTATATACTATATGAGTACATGGACCCTGAGGGTTCGAACCCTCGACACTACAAAGATCTCAAAGCGCGCACGCGATCTTTTTATGCAGCCCTTGCCGATGTCTGTGGTGACGAAATCGTAAGCCTCGGGCTTCACGCTTCGAGTTTAGGGTTCAAGCGCAAGGCTTGGGCTATGGATGCGCAGCTTATGTCCTGAAGTTCTAAGAGAGATGCCGGTTTAGATATGGGGGCTTCCGAAAACAGGGGACCCTCACAAAATACCGTATCTAGTAGGATCCTTGTTCTAAGGACCCCAAATAAGGTACCCCTAATTTTCGGAAACTCCCATTTCGGAGACTGTGAAGGATGTGAAGAGCGCCGACCCCCGATCGACACTGGTTTCACTACGGTTGATGATATAAAACCTGCATTACCTTAATGACCCATGAGGCCCCATAGTAGTTCCTTTTTGGGGTTACAGTATAGGATTCTATGTATGACCCCCAAAAAAGGAACTACTTTGGGGCCTTTGGTTAGTGGCCCTAGACTATGGGAGCTATGGCACAATCCGTGTTATGGGTAATGCAGGATTTATATCATCAACCATATCACCCAACCCGGCACAGGATGTCTATATACTTTAGTGGCTAATTCAATCACCACTACTATTTTGATTTATCATAATTGAAGTATAATGGGCCCCAAAACCCTATTCTAATTGTTCAGGCCCCTCTATTACATAGACAACCTTAAACGTTAAACTCTAAGCCTTCAGTCAACCGTTTACCTGTTCCGCTCCTGCTTCAAGCCACGGCCCTGCACCCTTGCCCCTCTTAAAGAAACGTTTGAAAGCAGCCCTTTCGCGAAATCCGTAAAAAAAACATCCCTATAGGAACCCTTATCTGGAAGCCCTTAAAGCACGCCTCTCAAAGGAGCCGTGAAGATTCCACGTATTCAAGAATCATGATATTCAACTGCTAGGGAAATTATTATGTACATATAGTAATTGTTCGAATCCCTTTCATGCATCAAGATGTGCATCTCAGAAAGCTCGATTATTTTTCTCCTCGTGCCTGTAAAGCAAATTATGCAGAATCCTTGCACAAGTCATCCTGAGTCGATTTTCCAGCTTTCTGGGGTCCACTCTTAATTCCCTTACAAAAACCTTCTACGCTAAAACCCCTTGAAGATGCCCACAACCCCTACTTGGAGGTTCATAGGTAGTTATAAGTGGGGTCATAAGTCCCTTAATATGGGATATAAGTGTAGTTACCCTGCGTATAACTACCCATGAACCTGCAACTAAAGCCCGAAGCCCCGTTTTGGGGGGGAACTCCTTTGCCGCTGCCTGGATCTCCCAGCCGGGTCTCCAGGCGTGCTTTTTGCGTGTCCTGCTCTGAAGGGTACTTTGAAGGGTTCTGGTTTCAGGGCACTGCAAGGGCTCCTTTGAGAAAAAGGGGTCTAGAGGGGAAGAGGGGTTTCGGGTCGTCTGGATAGGGTCGTAGCATCAGGCTTCTGAACCTCAGAGTTCAGGGTTTCAGTATTTCCGGGCCTATAAGGGCAGAGCCCAAACAGAGCTTGTGGGATCGGCTTACGTTTCGGGCTTAGGCTCTAGGGATATGTTTCCTCCCGCTTAGCTAGGGCTTACAGGGTTTAGGGTTTAGGGTTTAGAGTTTACGGTTTAGGGTTTAGGGCTAGGTTTCAGCAACAACAAATTTTCGTTTTGTAGAGCTTAGAGCTTAATGGCTCAGGGCACGTGCGGGTTAAGGAGACATATATCACAGCTTGATGCCTGTGAGCGGAAGCTGTTTGATCTCCGGCTTCCTAAACAAATCTGCGACAGTGCTACTACTAAAGTCTGTAATCACGTCGCCCTTCGAGCCTCCTTACACGAAGTGTCTGGCACTCGCAGAGCACAAGACTTTGCAAGGGAAGCAGGCTGCCACAATTTTGGGATGGTAACGAAAACACCATGATCATGACATGGAACACTTGGGGACATATTCGTCCTACTTATTCCGACCCTGCACCCTGCAACGAACGGCCCATGTCAATCCTAATCCTCCTCACTCTCCGACCGCTGGTGCCTCGACAGAGTCTGTGGATTGCTTAGAGGTCTTTAGGAATTTCGGGTTTTACTGTAGAGCTCTAAGCCCTAAACCTTAAAGAGGGTCCAGGTCTTTAGGGTTTCGACCCATCCCAAACGATCTCGGATTCGAGGATTTATCGTGCCCTGGCGGTCCTGGGCACTAGTTTAAAGCCCTGTACTTCTGCTAGTCTAAGGAACTCTTGACAAGGATGTCATCATAATACGAAGGCCTTTTTCAAACTGTTGCGAATCTGGCACTGGACTTTCGCCTGCAGAGATTTGCACAGGCTGATGCAGGGGAGGGCATGCATTCTGACTTTTCAAGCGGGTACGCGACGACTGTTACGTCATAAAACGCGTAGTTGCTTTACATATTGCTGGGCAATCTCATACCCTTTTAGGACATATGTGTATGTATATATATATATACATATACACATGCGTGTGTTCAAAAACTGGAGTAGTGCTGCTACCTGCTACCGTTGCCCTCCTGAGTAGCTTTGACGGCTACGACTGGCACCGGCGACTTCCAGACACAGCAAACTACCACCCCACATGACTCAAAGGCCCCACACACCCCGAATCCCTAAACCCTAACCCCCAATATGGGAGTTTCCGAAAATGGGGTACCTTATTTTGAAGTCCTTATAATTATACGTAATAAGGATCCTACTATTTACGGTGCTATATTGGGGATCTCGCAGCCTAAATCTTGAGGCTCTAAAGGTCTTCATACAGGGCCACTAAGAAAACCCTAAGCCCTAAACTGTGGGGTGTGCTGCCGAGGGGCACTCCATCGCTGCGCATCTGCTTTGCTCGCTCCTTCAACCCGCAAAGAGTCCGCATAAATCCCTCCCATCGCAACCCAAGCACTTCAAAAGAGTCGGCAACTTCAACATCCAATCTGCAACAGGTCCAAGTACGAATGAAGTGGGTCTTTGGATGGCCTCCAGTATACTATAAGTATATATATATATATGCAATATGTAGATGTATACATATAATATATCTATCTATCTATCCACAAAGAGTATGTGCTGTACCATAGCCTTGGCCCTTGTCGTTCAGGATCCCCTGCAAACCATACAGACCGGCGCCTAGCGTGCTCGAGCAGGGTTTTCAGATTCGAGTACTCTTGGGAACAAGGGCCCCGCATGAGAGTGCTCTGGCGAAAGCAGAAGATTTCGACGTCACGTGCTTTCTTGCTTTTCTTCGACTGGCAGGGTTTGGGATGTTGGGCAGCAGCGGCATGGAAAAGGATCCTTGCTAGCATTGTTGAGGGGATATCTAAATCCAGGGGTATACTGTGTCCCTCAACCAACTTAGGGTTCCGCAGCCTCGAATTGTGGAACTTGTGTACCGCATATACTCCTGAGTCCCTAAACGCCCAACAGTAAACCGCCAACACTTCCAACCCTTCAGTACAAGACTGTTAATCTTGAACCCGTAAGCCCCATCAAGCCAGTAGCAGTCGTGGCGGAGATATCGTTGAACTTCCTGGTATCTTAACCAATTTCCTGGTCCAATTCGGAAGGACCCTTGGCAAGACAAAGCAAGAAACACTAACAGCTTCAAGTTGAACCTTGACCCCCATCCGGCCTTGGGAATTGGACATTATAAACCCGAAAACCCCGACCGAACCCCTAGGCCAACTTCTCGCGAAACACTGGCAAATTAAGATACCGAAATGGAAGCGCATTGCATCTAGTACATACATCGCTATTATGGCTACCTATACGTTTTAATTTTGATTGACAGCCAGGCATTTTGGGCTCCTTTTTCTGGCGATACTGTTGATGATATAAACCCTGCATACCTCAAGGACCCTAGACCATGGGATTTATGGTATATTCGATCTTCCTTATTATGGGTAATGCAGGATTTATATCATCAACCGTACGACCATGGGGTCCAGGTACTGGGGCTCTAATTAGGCCGGGGGACTTGCTTGAGGGCTTCGGGTCACGAATTAGAGGAGTTGTGGCCTCCTCCTAATCCGCAAGATTGGAATTTTGGGTCGATGCTTAAACCCCAAGCCGTTGTTAAAGGCGCTGACATTGCATGAAGTTCCCAGAGACTCCATCATCCCTTAATTCAAGTAAGGGCTATTGGAGTCTCTGGGTTTCAGACCCAGGAGCCCTTCGAAATTCACTACCCGGTGATCAAATGCGAGTTTTCCGATTATTTCGGGTACCTTATTTTGGGGGTCCTTATAATCAGGGTCATACTACTTAGGGCATTATATTAGGGTTCCCTATTTTCGAAAACCACCAAATTGCAGCAGGAACGTCTGCTATCCCCAGTGGTAGCACCGCCAATGCTGGTGGTTGAGCTTTCGTGTTGCCATGTTGACGATGCTTGGAAATGTTGAAAGGGGAAGGTGTGCATTCGTTGCCCAGCTGCCGGGATAGAACTTTCTTGCTGTAGTCCTGCTTTGTCCAAATTCACATGTTTGGCCCTTATGTTGTTTGGGCGATGAATTCGTCGTGCGCTGTCAGACAATTCACCACCAAAGCAACACGGGCGTGCCCGGTCATATTAAACATTGGACGTCGCAATGGAAATGGATGCTTGAAACAGATATGTAATCTATTGGCATGCAAACACTTGTACCATGCGTGGTTGACGGATTTAAGGCGGTCTGGCTCTGCTCCAGGAAACGAGATCGATGTCGTCTCAGTTTGAAACACGGACAACTGCAGAACATGAAGCACGCCAAACCCCGCTTAGAAAACCCATCCCCTAACCCCGGAACCTCTTAAGACTTACCTTTGGTTAGTCGGTTAGTAGGGAATGGAGGAATGGGGTAGAATTATACCTACTTTTACTACCATTCCTCCATTCCCTACTAACCAAAGGTAAGAAGAAGCATTTGGCAGGCAGACTCCTCATCTGCAGCCTTTGCCGCATCTTCGGTCCCCGTCTTCTTCTCCTCCCCCTCACGGATTGACGGTTGGCTCCAGGGGATGTAGCAAATTGCCTAATGAAGCCTGGTTAAGCTCCCTGAACCCTACGTTACGGCCGTGAACACAAAATGTTTAACCACCCAGATGTGCAGTGAATCTTACAAGCCTATGTATAGCCCTAGCAAGCTGCCCGGCGCAGGCTACATCTTCACGAATGGCCCCTGAGCTCCGAATACGACTGCTTAAAGAAACCGCACAAAGGATCCCTTGAAGCGATCCCTCAGAAATGGATCTGTTCAGGGAGCCCTTATAATTGGTAACTCTTTTGAAAATCCCTTTAAGGATCCCTTAGAGGAATACTTAAAGACAAATTTGTCCCGCTTTATACCCTTGCAGGATCCTCCACGACTCCTCAATTAAAGCAACTAAGGCTTGCACCTTCAATCCTTTAGGGTGGGTTTAGGGTTTAGGGGGTCCTAAACCCCGCATAGTACCCTTAAGCAGGCTTTACGGGATTTTTGTAACGACTCCTTGAAGCAATATTATACCTCAATTCCATCTTAATGCCTGGCACCCGTAACCTTTCAATCTTGCGTTAAACGGAACCCCTCAAAGGACCCTTCAAAAAGAATCCTCTAAAGCAACTCCTCGCCGGCAGCTTCGCCCGCATCCTCGTCTTTCTCCTTCTCAGAGGTCGCGGACCTGAGAAGAGACGGAGCTTTTACCAGGACCAATGGAGGAAACCTCCGCTGCAAAAAGCAAAACACCTTAAGGCTCCATAGTAGTTCCTTTCTGGGGCTCATATTTAGAATCCTATAAGGTAAGCCCAAAAAGGAACTGCTATGGAGCCTCTGGGTATTGGGCTGTTCTCATTGGCATCGGTAAAACGGGAGCTTTCCGTATCAACTTTAACGGCTTGAGCTGCAGCCAAAGGCTTCGGGCTGAGAAGGTTTAGGTTAGAAGCTGCCCCCACCCTGTAATAGTGACCATAAGGATTATATAGGATTATATTAGGGCCCTATTATATTCCTATTATACCACTATTACAGGGTGGGGGCAGCTTCTAAGGTTGAGGGTTGAAGTCTTATAGGGCTACAGTAGAAGCCAAAAAGTTGGAAACCCAATAGCCTCATTCCTGAACAGTAATGTATAGGGAATCCCAGCACTATTTGGCCTTTATCCGGTTTCCAACTTTATGGGGTTTACTGTATAGGGTTTAGAGTACGTATAGAGTTTAGGTTTCAAAAGGAGCACGCTAACACCTCAAGGCAGAGAATTAAGGGCTTACCTGGTGTTCTCAAGAACTTTTTTTGATTTTTTTGACTTTTATGACTTCCGTATACAAGTCCTTATAGAGGCAGGTTATCCAGGGTCCAGGCAGGGCTTATAGGGTTTATAACCCAAAGCGTCCAAAGTACCGATATAGTAGAATGTAGGGTATCTACATTAGGATGTACTATTAAAGTTTGGGGAAGTATTCCCCATAACCGTACATAGGACCCTTTGGGTAAGGCTTGGAGTTTTGGAGTTTAGAGCCCTGGGCCACATAGACCTCTTAAGCTCCTAAATCCTTACATACCCCTTGCAGGGACTCGTCAAGGAGCCCTTAAGGCAAGGAGCCCTTATGAAGCTAATATAGGGGCCTTAATAATTCGAACAGGGTTTTGGGATCCATTTTTCTATAAAAATGATAAGGAGCCCCCAAATCCTATAGGTAAGTATTTCGTCAAGCCTCCTTTCCCCTGATTCGCGCATCCCCATCCGCTGCTCAAGCTGTCAACGCAGGGACCATAGGAGCCAGAACGTGAACCGTAAACCCTGTCAAACTCCATACACTGTTGAAATACGAACCGTGTGTCCGCTCTGGTGCCCCAGAACCCACCCTAAACCCTAAACCCTAAACCGTAACCCTGAACCCGAGACGCCTTACTTAAACTCTACAGCTACAGACTCTCTAGACCCCAACTCGCCTCAAACTCCAAGCGGCAGCCATATCCGCAGCATCCCACAAGCTCTTCATCCCTGAACTCGACCCCCTTGTTGAACCCAGACTCCAAACCCTACCTAGAGGGTCATTCCCTACCCCTGTTTTTGGTTACCTAGTTTTATGGTTAGGATATCCTATATAGAAAAGTAGGTACCTTAAAAAAGGGGTAGGGTATGAGCCTATAGGTACTCCTCAATCCCTAAAGCCCTAGGCCAAGAACCCCTTCGACCCGAAACCCTGCTGCGGCTCAGGCCATTCAATCTTGCAAGTCCTCAGCTCTGACATCTGCAGCAAAGAGGGCTTCTACCATGACCCCCCAAGGGCTCTCAAATGGGTTGTTATGGTCCTTAATCGTGTAGGGTATAATCGAGAGGTAGTTGGGAGTTCTAGGTAGGGCTTCGGAGATAGGGCTCGCGTGCGGATACAAAAAACTATTGCTATAATAAAATCTTACCATCTTATATGGTTGACTTTGTTGCTGCTTTTTGCTGTTATCCTGTTTCTCCTTCGGTGTGACCTTTACAAAAGGGCACCGGGTTTGGGTTTAGAGATCCCTTCAGACAGGCAGGGGCTCCTCCGACCTGGCGCCAAAGAGGTTTTGGGCCAGGACAATCCCAAAGGGCGCAAGTGATATTTTAGTGCATGGCTTTGGGGCCCAAATACCAACCAAGTACCTACTATAGTGGCACTTGGTTTCTTAGGGAAAAACGTCGCAGTAGTGAGAATAAGGTTTCTGGATCCGGCCCATTCAAATTTTTAGGGGCTATAATAAAGGAATACTCTATATACATATATATATATATATATATGTATTACCCTTTCGTAATTGTTTAATGCTCCTGGCCTTTCGGGCTTGGGGCATAAAACAGCTTAAGCCGTGGGCGCTTCAAGTCAAACAACAGTCAGGGAGGTCCATGCTGATTTGGAAGACTTCAAGCTTAAAGTTCAGCGTGCTTCGAACGCTCTGATCTGATCGCTTCGGGAAGTGACTACTGGAGAATTTTGTAGTCACGTAATTAGTAAGAGTATCCCCCCTGTAGCTTCTGTGACGACAGCACGGCACACGCAAAACCCTGTCTCATTATTATGGTCCCTCCGCTGTATGCAGCCCTTTAACAGGGCCTTCAAAGAAATCCTATCAAAGTGTCAGGACAAAGAAAGGGGGCTTCGGAAAAGGGACACTACCGGGTTTAGGGTTGAGGAATTTGCCGAACAAAACTGTATGTGATTTTGGGTTTGAGAAGGTTTACGGGTTAATTAAGGGTTTAGGGAGTGAAAGCTTGAGGGTTTTGCGTTGTTGTTTGCGTGGGGCTCACAATATACGGCTCAGGAATCGTGCTCTAGGGTTTGGGGTAGGGGCACCCTGTGCCCGTGACAGATAAGACAAAGCAAGAAACCCTAAAGCCTAAACATGAAAAGCCTGGGCCTACACCCTTTTGTAGAACCCGGAAGCTCCCAAACCCTTAGCCGAGAAGCCAGGAAACCCGACACCAGCCTCAACCCTTTTTCCATTCCTGACCCCCCCCCCCTCTACACCCTTATGTATACCCTAAGGCCCACATCATGTCGGCTGAGCTTCGTCGATGCAGACGGCTTGGCCACGGCATTCGATTCGAAGCGGGCGGCGCGCTTCTGACCTGCAAACTATCAGCGGCATTACAAGTTGGTAGTTATTCACACATGATTACTATCATCATCAACGTTCTGGTTGATATCATGCTCATTCAGATTTCCGTTGGGCGTGGATGCTGGGTTCTGAATTAATTAAAGGAGTTATCTCGCTTAGTGATTTGGGGTTCGAAGGATCCACCAACATAATAAGTATCATTATCCCCTACCTTAACCCCGAAGAACCTACATTTTTATGGACTTATATATAGAAATCATAATAAGGAACCCTAAAAAGGTAGGTTCTTCAGGGTTAAGGTATACCCTATAATTATTAACCATACCTGAGGGGATGGGCGCTTTGTTGGAACTTCGGGCTTTACTTTGCTTGCACAAGCAACCTTCCATGCAGTGAGGAAGATCAAAGCGCGAAGCCTGTCTAGGAATTCCGATGTAATTTAAAAGTGTAGGCTTATGCTGCGGGTATGGCCTCCACAGTCGCTAGATTTAGGGTTTGCTACTGTGCGGGCATGCAGAAAATACTAGCTGCGGTTGCCGGATTTGGGGTTTAGCCTCCCTAAACCCTGAACCTATACTGAACTTGGAACCCTAGCAAAAATTATATTTTTAGCTGTTTCTTAGGGATTATAATAACTCAAAATTAAAAAAAACTAGGTACCCCTAAGGAACCGTTAAACCGCTGGAAGCCGTGACTTCTTTGCCCAGCGGCGTCTTTCCAACTCTTCAGGCGACTCCTGTGACTCGGAAGAAGGACTTGTTTTTCTGGGTTGTAGTTTTCGGGCTCTGAAAAGCATTTATGAATAGGTACCTCTATAGGAACCATAAGGGAAATTAACAAGTTTCTCAAATTGCCACCTAGTTTTTGAGATGTCGGCTAAGGCAGATTCGGTTCCTAAAGAGATGTGAGTGCCAATCTGGCTTCTGGCTCCCGCATTTCGAGGTGAGGGCCTAGACTTTTTGCCCACGTCGCACACGTCCCGGCAGCCAGCACGTGTCCATCTTCAATCTGCCCCCTCCCGAAACCCAGGAAGAAACAAAACACAGACATACATGCACAACAACAGGCACAACGACAGAGCAACAAGCCTTGACATGTCCACACACATCATAATAAGACAAACAGATGCTGTTGGTTCAGGGTTTAGCAAGAAACAACCCTGGGTTCGCCACGATAGAAATCAGCCCGACAAGTTAGGCAAAAGCAAAGCCTTCGGGCCCCCTTCCAGAAGTATAGACACAAATAACTCACAGGCATATACAAACAAACCAACGAACAAACATAGATGCACATGTCAATTCTAAATACATGCACACATACATACATACATATCTACGTACATACGTACTCACATACATACATTTAACTACATAAATACTTATGTGCTTTTAGATGCGTATATATGCACATATTTATGCTTCATCCATGTATACCTTGAATACGGATGTGTAGATTGACGCTTTGTTTGTATACCATCTTTACGAATACTGTATAGCCTATGCAATGTAGCATGTATAATACAATATCAGACCCTACATCCAGGAAGCTGGACCCAAACCTTGAACCCTCAAACCCTTGCTAGTTCTTGCAGGTCCACCCTCGTGCGTCCAAAGCTTGATGTGCTACTGTAGCGCAAGATGTTCGAGGTTCAATTTAAAGCCAAGTTCAGTGGCTTTGGGGGTTCACGGCGGCCAGAGCGGCTCTTGTTTGAAGGGTTTACATCTACAGCCCTTGCACCTGAACAGCATCGCCGCGGCGTTTGCTGCCTACCCGTGTCCTATTACAACTCGACAGTTTGGTAAACACCGCAAGCACAAGTGAGGAGCGCAAAAGGCTAAGCTGCAGACCCTTGTTCTCGGATTCTTGTCTGGAGAGGGAGGGAGGGAGAGAGAGAGAGAGAGAGAGAGAGACAGCGAGGGAGAGAGAGAGAGAGAGAGAGAGAGAGAGAGAGAGAGAGAGAGCGAGAGAGAGAGCGAACAAAAACAGGAACAAACAGCGTTTCTAGTGAGCATATGAAAATGCAGAGACTCCAGCACTATAGTTTCACATCAGTGTTATATCAGACACTGTAGCAAGACTCCAGGAAACCCCATTTCAATAATCGCAGGGTGATGAACCTGGTCTCCACATGGCCTGCTTACGAAGGAAAGACTTCACTCTGAACATTGTATGTTGCTTTTTTGGATTTTGCGGGCTTTGGGTTTGAGAAGATCTATGAACCCTAGTTAAACCCTGAACCACTTCGAAACGATCTTAGATTTCATGGCGGTAGCCGCAGTCCTCCGGCTTTGCAGCATCGAGGGAACCTTCCCCGCTGCCTGTCCAAGCAATTTGTGGTGAAATTCAGGGGCCTTAGTAATTACAATAGGGTTCCTTTAAAGGGGGCTATAAGGGTTACTATAAGGGATCTGTAAGGTTACTGTAGTGTAGGTGCCTTAATCATTAGAATGGGTTTTGGTGCCCGTTTATACTATACATATACAAAGGAACCCCAAAAACAGTATAGGTACTTATTAAGGACATTGTATCATAGCATATTACCATAGATCCCTTATAGACCCTGCTAAGGCAATCCTTTAAAAGAACCCCCAACACAGTATAGGTAACTATTTAGGCCCCCCTATATTGATTAGAGCGTAGAGTTTAAGGTTTAGAGTTTAGGCTTTGCTGGACCCGAGGCATCGCGATTACCAAGACCCTAGGTGCAGAAACCATCTTCAAGGCGGGTTTAGAGTTTAGGGGTTTAGGGTTTGCTGAAGGGCAGGCTGTTGTAGGGCCTAGTGGCCTTTATGTGAATAAAGGCAGTGTCTGCTCAATAATGGGGTATAGCCCCAATATACGTGCCTGAATCATTACAATAGGGTTCCTTTAACGGGGTCTCTAAGTGTTGCTATGGGGGATAGGGTTCCTTTAAAGGGGGCTATAAGGGTTACTATAGAGGGAACTATAAGGTTACTATAACATGGGGGCCTTAATACTTAGAAGAGGATTTTGGATCCCAGGTGAGCCCTGAACTCGATGCCTTTCTGCTTCTTCCAGCCGCTGTCGCCATCGGATTTCCAATCCTTTTTGTTTTAGGCTAAGGGGTTATAAGTTTCAGGTTTTGTTTGTTGGGTTTAGGGATTTCGGTTCAGAGGGCTTCTGTAGGGATTAAGGTTTACGGTTTTAGGCTTCTTCGTATGAGGTTGCTGGACATATCCTCAAGAGTGTCGGCTCGGTAGTCGCATCTTTCGTAGAGGAAAGTTACAAATGGGTAGTTGTCAAAATTATGGCCCCTTTCTGGGTACCCTAAATACTAGGTGCCGTACTTTTTTAGGGACCCAAGAAGGGACCATAATTTGACAATCACCCACATGGGTCAGGATTTGTCTGGAATTTGGATCGCTTGGCAACACAGAAGCTTATAGCTCGGGACTTGAATAGCAGTGCTTTGCGGGTTCGCTTCTCGATGCGGCCTTTCCCAATGGCTTGTTAGTTATGGATGTTTTAAGCCTCCATTGCTTATGTGACGCTACCACTGCTTATCGGACTGGCTCCAGATGAAGATGCCTTCGTGACCAGGGTTTAAGGTCTAGGGTGTAGATTAAACTGTACTACGACGACCAGCATCGCGCATATATGTCGACATGGTTACTGAACAATGTGGCGACCAATCTTTAATTGTACCGTCTCCAACCACTAGACCAGAAAACATCTCCTCACTCCGAGTAAAAATCGAGTTAGACGTACAATCTGGGAGCTTAGGGCTTAAGGTCTACAAACGGGGTTTATGGGTTCAGGGCCTTTTCTTGGGTTTTGGGGGCCTTATAGGGTCTGCAAGATGGAATTACCAATGGTGTCCATGTCAGCATGGCCAGAACCGCCTGGCCATGAGGAATGTTTAGGGGTTTAGGGTCAAAGCTGCGTCGGCGGCCGTAACACCATAACATCGAATCTACCTCGTCAGCCTCCGAAGCATCCCCCCGCGGCGTCCAGAACATGTTTTTAGTGATTAAATGCTGATCCCTCGCACAAGCCCTGCGTCGCTGTCCTTCCACTTCTGGTTCTGCTGAGACTTCCAGTTGGACTTCCAATCGGACTTGTTCCACGAGTTGCCACCGCCACCTCCTCCAGAAGGGGTTTTCGGATGTTGGGTTCACATGGGGAATTGCCGAAAATGGGGCACCCTAATATAGTACCCTAAATCGTAGGATCCTTACTATAAGGACGCCAAATTAAGGTACCCCTAATTTTCGGAGACTCCCACATTGATACAACACGTTAGATGCTTCCATGTAAAGGGCTTGTTCAATAGTCATGAAAGCATTTTTTACACTCAGTGGCTTCAACCCTGACCGAAAAGACCCTGTGCAAATCCAGGAATCACTAAACCTCGCAGACCCTCCTTCAGAGATGAAAGCTTTAACTTTGGCTAGGTGGGGCTTTTAAAGCCTTCGACAAATATTAGTAAATAAGATCCTCTTAAGCCCAATAAGGGAAAATATAAAGTGTCCCAAAGCCCTACCTAGTTGGCCTGCATTTCATGTAGCATTCAAGCTTATGAGCTTGATTAGGGCATTCATCGGCTGAGGCATTGCACGTGAGTGTAGGGTGTGGTAACAGGTCCTTCAGCCTGTTTGTACTCCTCATTGGAGCAACTTGCTGTAGTCGCAAACCGATGTTGGAACGAGCTTCCACGAGTGTCTGGATTCAACGCCCGAAACTGGGCCTAAGCATGGACGGAGATGCGGCAAATTACCTGTTACGCACCCAATTATAGGTATACAGTAAACTCCATAAAGTTGGAAACCGGATTAAGGCCAAATAGTGCTGGGATTCCCTGTACGTTGCTCTTAAGGATTTAGGCTATTGGGTTTCCAACTTTTTGGCTTCTACTGTAATACCTGACTTCGGAACTCATGATAAGCACCCCTAGAGGGGTAGCTTTTGGGGCCAAAAGCTTCGGGGGGGGGGGGGGCGGGGGGACTTTGCGGAGCCTGCCTCCTTTCCAGCCAGACCAGTTGTTCCAGTCTGAATTATCTTTGCCGTCTTTGCCGTTGGCTTCGTCCTCGGATTCGCAAGAGTACGCTGTATCTTCCGGTAAAGGAGTTGAACCTGCAGTCTCCATTGTAGTTCCTTTTTGGGGTTGCCTTTTAGGATCCTTAATATATAATTGGTTAAAACAAAAAAAGGAACTACAATGGAGACCATAGGAAGACCTCAAGCCTTGGGCAGATCCTCGTTTACACGCTGCACCAGCTAAATAGGTCGATACATTCAGGTCAGACGAACGTAGCACAATACTACATTCAGGGCACTATTCGTACTTGACAGACTTGATAGACACTGTGTCCCTCGTCATTGTAAGGACCGTTGTACGACAACAAACTCGTGTGACCTTGTCGACACATCAACTGCATAGCCTCTGCATTGGTCTGCTTCGTTCATTTCACTTCCCATGGTCTTGTCACTGAGTTGTCCTTGAAGCTCTTTGAAAATTATCTAGTACTACTAATTATGGCTCTCTACAAAAATAGTAGGGGAGATTCAAAAAGGTCCCCAAAGCACAACCCAGCTAGGTGGGGCTTTTAGAGCCTTTGGAAAATATTAGTAAATAAGATCCTCTTAAGCCCAATAAGGGAAAACATTAAATGTCCCAGAGCCCTACCTAGCCAGGTAAGTGCGCGAGCCTTAAGCTCCACTTCCTACACCCGAAAACTTCGCTCCGGAGGTCCAGAATGACCATACAGGGAACTCCAGAAAGTTGGAGTATGGTTTCATGGTAGGATACCCTATAATTTACCATAGAAGGGTTAGGATAATCATATTCCAACTTTCTGGCTTTTACTATAGACTTTCGCATAAACGAATTAACAAGGCAAAACAAACACACCACGACTAGTCTCAACCCTTCAAAGGCCTGTGCAGCCGCACCAAAATTTGTAGAATCCGTAGAACCCCAAACTCCTGTGAAAAAAAATCTTGGACCCTTGAAAACCTCGCCAAAAATCCACAAGACTCCTAAAAAGTGTTGTGAACACCGTTCAGAACCTAAACCTCACACCCCCGAGACATCCCCAACCTGTCCTAGAACTCCTACGGGGTCGCCTGGGCTAAGGGGCCCTACACCCTCAGACTGCAAGCCATAAACCCTAGATAAACTCGAGAGGCCTTAAGTCCTGAAGCGCCTAAAACCTCAACCCTCTAGGCGGCACCTTCTTGTCCTCGCCATCCTTGTCCTTGGAGGCCTTCGATCCCTTGCGCTCTTTCAGCGCTTGCTTCTCTTTCTTGTCCTCCTCCTTAAGGACAAGCTGGGACGAGGAAGTTACAGGGCTTCAGAAGTTTCAAATTCGGTGTAAACGGGCTTTCGCCATAGAGTTTTGCGTTGCAGTGATGACGCAGGATTCAACCCCGGAAGACTTCAAACTCGATGCACCCCAGCAATTCGTACGCCATAAACCCTGCAGAAATTATCAAACCCTGAAGCCTCTATATCCTGATACTTTGAGCTGCAGACTTTGAAGACTGCCGGCAATCAGCAACAAACTCGCCTGCAATCCTAATCCTCTAAGCCCCGAAACCCAAAGATCCGAAAACGAACAACCCGAAACTCACAGGAATACCAGTGCGCAGAACCCTGTCGAACCCTCGTCAAATCCCGAAATGTCTATTAAAGACTTCATTCTCATCCTATACAGTTCAGAAAGAGAGACATCCAAACTAATGCTATGAAGACCCCTTGCAAAATCCTGTACAGGGTTACTAATATAGGGGCCTTAATAGTCAAAATAAGGTTTTGGGGGTATGTTTGACTATAAGTGTAATAATGAACCACAGAGAGAGTATAGGCCCCCACATAAAACCCTTAGCCCACGGACTTCAAAACCTAAGCAGCCTGAACCCCAAGGCCCTAAACCCTAGGAGACCCTAAACAAGTCACTCCGGGTTTGTTGGGGCCTAGAATTATTCCGGGGGTCTCTAAGTACAGCTATAGTAGAATCTAACCCAAAATTAAGCCCTATTCTGATTGTTAGGGCACCTATATTACTACCCTCTTTTGCACAGGCTTGTGTGAATCCCGCGGGGCTGTGTCCCACCGGTTCTCCGAATAAGGCCAGACACAGAACGAAATCACTACCCAAACCCTAAATTGCTGCAACACTTCCTTCAAAAGGAACTTGTACTCCGATTATAACAGCTCCTTTAAAGGGATATGTATATATATATATGTATATATGGACACATATATGCATAATATTCCTGTTATCAAAAAGCCCCTTTAAAAGGAACCTATGATCTTACAATTATACCTACTATTAACAGTTCCTTTATTTTAACAGCTCCTGTAAAGGGCTCTTTAAAGGCTTTCAGCATGAGTGGCGTCGTCGCTCCAGGCTCGCATTCCTCGGCCCACCGTCGATTCTTTGGACTCCTGGGTTGGCTCAGTGGGTTTATAAGGGTTCCTTTAAGGCCCCTTTAAAGGGATCTCCAGGCGGAGTGCATAGGGGATCAGAGGGTTGAGGGCATTCGGGGTTGATAGGGTTTGAGGGTTTTGCGTTTAGGGGTTAGGTTTCAGGGGCTTCGGCACTCACACTCGGACAATCCAGGAGAGGCATATGGTTCGGAGTCTGACAAGTGAAACTTCACTAGAAGGAATCGCCAATATCGCAACAACAAAGCTATGTCAACAAGGTTTAGGGTCTAGGGCTTTGGGGGTTTGTAGGCGTTAGGGTTTAGAGGCTCAGAGCTTAGCCCTCCTCAACCCCGTAGATGGCATTCAGGGCTTTTTGGAAACTTAGGGTTTGGGGTTTAGGGTTAAGTCGAAGACGCCTAAAACAGAAATGCTGGTCCAAGAGTGTAAGCAGTTCGGCTGCAACCTGTGATGGCCTGCACGACTTGGAGTGGACTGTTGAACGACGGAGCGGACAAGGGCTTCCGCGATTTCGGGGATCAGATCTTGAGGTTCTTAATAAACCCTGAACCCTAAGCCCTTAGGGTTTAGGGTTTAGGGTGATTCTTTAGTTTCAGCTTTAGTAGGCAGTCTTTCGTGTCTTAAATCTCGGTAGATACAAGACGAAGACCAGTAAGCCTACATGTAAACAGCTTGACGGCCGAAGCAGCTAATCACCCATTAACAATCAGCGGAACGGAGCGTGCGAACTGATATGTGCTTCTGCTCGCAACGGAGCTATCACTATGTTTTTTGGATAGGGCCTCAAGGATTATGCCTAAGATCCAAACGTGTACAGGGATTACAACTGGTCGTCGTATAGGTACCAAGTTGACACCGGCCTGTGTCCTCAGCATCTGGAAGGGTGTTTTGCAATGCCGCTTTCTTACTTCTCAAATACCTATGGGGGAAAAATCCCAAACTTTCCAACAAGACTACCTTATAAGAGCTCCAAAAGTTAAAAAGTCAGGTTTTGGGCCACTAAGCTTTGCTTACACTGTCAGCAACCAGTAGCCAAGATAGTTCTTGGAGTGGCACTTATCGTGGTCGTGTTGGTCTTCACACTAGCAGTGCTGCTCGCGACGAATTGTGCAGATGCCAGTGCATATGCAGCGGTGGTGATCGTGCATACGGGCTTGACAACGCTGGCCATCATGCTGCGATGGTAATGTAATGTGGCTGGTAGCCCCAAAGGCCAAGTCCTCTCAAGCCCTCAAGACAGGACATGAGTCTACATATACATAAATTACAGACACGCATCCTAACACACACACACACACACGCACACATACATACTACATACATATATATATATATGATAAGTACATGCGAATGCACTTGTTTTTTCATATGTCTCTCGTTATAGGTGGCATTTATTCTGAGCAGGATTTCGGCATGTGCGCTTGAATGTCAGCGTATGTTGTCGTGCTAAAGCGAAACAGGGCTGTGAATACCTAGGTTCCGACCATACCCGAGCATGGTCGAACGAAGACAAATCCTAGATATTCAATCCTGAACCTAAATTATAGACACCTCAACCTTGACAGTTAGTTAACCCCTGAAAAACCTGGACCCTAGATGGGTACGGCGGAATGGCTTGGTGCAAGGAAAGACCTTGTGAATTTCGAGCACGTAGCTATGCTATAAAGCCTTCGTGTCCAGAATCGGGTATTGAGGCTTGAGTGTTTTTTGGAATATTCTCTGGCCCAGAGTTTAGGGATTTGGGTTGAAGGTTCAAGTGCGAGGAAACCCCCCGCCCGAACCCCCGGACCGGTCCTCAACAACCTCTGGCTTCTTCCAGTTGCTCCACTTGTTGTTGCCCTGGCAAAACGACTTTTGGGGGTTCCCTTGGCTCTTTGGCTCCTTATTTAATGGGATTATCATCATCACCTGGCTCCTTAGCTCCCCCGATATCAATGGTTATCTGGTCATCTTGGCACTGGATGTTTGGCTTTTGGGGCTGGTCTGTTTGTTTTTCGGGTTTGAGTTCCCATTAGGGGGTAGGGTACCCCTAAACCCTAAACCCCAAACCCTAAACCCTAAAGCCCTGAGGCCCTGGCCGTGGACCCTAACCATTTTGCATTGCTTGCAAGGTCCTTGCCCCTGAACCTTAAACCCTAAACCACAATTAAGATCTCGATAACTTGAGAAGCTACTTAAGCCACACCCGAGATCCTGCTCTGGGGGCTGGCTTACTTACCTTTGGTTAGCAGGGAGTGGAAGAATGGTAGTAATAGTAGTTATAATTGTACCCCATTCCTCCATTCCCTACTAACCAAAGGCAAATTTTAGGGTGTTGAGGTTTTGGGGTCCGGATCAGGATCCGAGGTATTTGGGGCTTCGAGTGCTTCAGGTTCGGCTTTCTGTTCGCATCTGCCGCGTTTAACCTCGTTCATTGCTGGGATAGGATTAAAAATGCACATTTTGTTCCTTATTGGGTTTAAGTACCCATAACAATGTAAAATATGACCCAACTATGACAAAGTAACTGAAAATGTGGACATGCTCGTAGAGCTGACGAAATTTAGGAGGCTATATGGGTATTTCGAAGGTCGTGTGAGCAAGCTGTTGCTTACGCACTAGGGAACTCTGTAAGGGAAGCAGCAGGACACCGTGTAGAAGTGAGGCTTGTGCTCATACACAACCACCGAATAAGCATATCTCTGCACCATCCTCAGTGTGGGTTTGCACGCGCCCCCCCAAAAGCGTCGAAACCCTCAATGCTAAACACCTGTAAGTTCTTATAAGCGCTGCATCCCCAAAAAGCAAGAACCCTGCACCTTGGTCCTCGAACCGCCAAGTCACGGAGCCCAAAATCACAAAACGACCATATGCGATTCAAGACATTGAGGAACATGGGGGTTTAGGGTTCAGGGTTTAAGGGAAATGGAGGCCTCCATCGATGTCTCGGGCTTAGGGTTCTAGGGTGGCTTCGGATTCTGGGGCAAAGTTAGAGATCAAACATTGGTAACCATGCCGCTGCCTTCTTACAGTCCATGCACAGGTGGACAGTTCAAGTATCATGTACACCAAAACCCTGTTCTAAAAAACCCTAAACCCTAAACCCTAAACTCTAAACCGTGGCTATGTGGCGCCCGAATAGTCAAACTCTTCAAGCCCTAGGGCCCCTGAGCATCTATTCGGGCTCCGAATATGCCGCTTAAGGACCGAGTTTTCCGTCATTCACCAAGCCATTCTGGGTTTAGGGCTTGGGGTTTAGGGCTTGTGGTTTAGGGGGTAAGGCTTGGGGTTTAGGGCTCGGAACAGCCCTAGAAGCACGTCTTCCTCGAACAACAGGCTGGCTTCTGTTGCTCAAAGTGCTGGGGTTTATAGGGTTAACAGGGTACTGGGCTTAGAAACGTTGTTTATGGGGCATTCTGGGGATACAGAAACACGCTAACCTGTAATGGCTGCACATGCCTCTTCATATAACCACAGTACAGCCACTCGCTATGTCGTCGATTTTACATGACTCGTGGGGCTTTTACATTCAGCTGTATTGGTCCAGGCAGGAGGAAACCCAGAGCTGTCGTACGGAAGGCACTGGATGCAAGGTTCTGGGCCATTGTGCTCGGGCGAGTCAGAGAGGGCTGTTTAAGGTTTCGGGTCTAGGCGATTCAGGGAAGGACTTTGGCATGTGGGCTTTTGGCTTTAGGGTGTGGCTGTATATGAAGTCAACCTTTGGGCTAGGTAAAATTTCACAGACCGATAAGGAAGCCGAACTGTGTAAGCCCTATTATGATCATCATGAAAAGCGTTTCCTCAGTGAACACACTGGAGACGTCATGGAGCTGCCTGCCAATTGTTCCAGCTTTTGCCGCCCTTCCAGTTCTGGTTGCCCCATGACTTCCATGCCTGAAATCAAGTGCGCAGAGCCAGATTCGGGATTGACGCCCCGTCTCATTGTACCGGTGTCAAGGATACTGAAGCGGTTGACGATGATTCTGATAACAAGATGTTGGTGCTGATGAAGATGGCCGTGTACATCGCTATGGCGTTGGCCATGGTGATGCAAAAGCTGTGCATGTGATGGCCATGGTCCGTTAAATCCCGTTTGTAATATGCTATTTATGATGCAACTTTGAAGCTGCTGGAAGTATCTGGTAGTGCAGTGGGTGCCACTGACAGTGAGAAAGTGACGATGAACATAGCGATGATGCTGCTGGAGGTGGCGGCGGTGGTGAGGGCGGCGGTCGCTACTACTAGTACTACTAGTAGTAGCAGTAGTATAAGTAGTAGTAGTAGTCGTCGTAGTAGAAGTTGTTGTGGTAGTACTACTACTACTGCTACGACTACTAATTACTACACCGCTACGACAACAACTACTACTGCGACGACCACCACTACTACTACTACTACTACTACTACTACTACTACTACTACTACTACTACTACTACTACTACTACGACTACGACTACACCTACGACTACAACTACGACTACAACTACGACGACCACCACCACCACCATCACCACCACCGACACCACCACCACCACTACCACCACCACCACGACCACGACCACGACTACTACATATACTACTACATATTAACAGCTGTATACTAAAACCTCTTGCAAGATGTCCAGTTGGTAGGCTTCGTCTCCGTTCGCCAAACTAACTTTAATCCTGACCTACGTACTGACCCTTCATGGACAGAACCACGCTTGGATTGCCACTGCTACAGGAACTAGCAACAAAAGGCACAGCATGCAGTACCTACCTGCAAAAAAAACTACATACCAGTTTCTGTGGTTTGAACATTGGCTCTTAGGATCTGGACGTTTACCTGGGCATCCGCCAACACTTCTTTTCGTGGTTTGTTGTACATAAGCTGCTCTCTACCTTTCTCCCTCTCTCACTCTCTCTCTCTCTCTCTCTCTCTCTCTCTCTCTCGGTCTCTCTCTCTTCAGTTATACATGCCTGCTGAAACAACAAGGACTTGGGACGCCCCAAAAGAAAACTCGCAAACCCTAAACCCAGGTTGAGGGTCTCTTTGGGTATAGCCGTGTTTAAGCCCCCTACATGGAGGTTCAGAAGTAGTTATAAGTAGGGGTATAAGTAGGGTAACTATGCTTATAACCCATATCAGGGGACTCATAACCCCACTTGTAACTACCCATGAACCTCCAAGTATAAACTCTAAACCCTAAGTTTACGAACAGACAAGGAGTTCTACAATGAGAGACTAAAGCCGGCAAAGCGCGTTGCCAGACCCGTCGGCAGACTCCTCCTTGGAGGGCTTCGCTTTTTCCGCGTCCTTAGATCGGTGGTTGGGGCTTGAGGGGTTGTAGCCGTGCTGGCCGGGAATTGGCGTTGAGGTGTTTTCGGGGTTCGGTGTTAAGGATCTAGAGGTTGAGGGCATAGAGCTTATAGTCTCATAAGTTTTCGGGCTTACCCTACACCCTAAACCCCTTAGCACTAGATGCCGGGCTATTCAGCGTTGGGAATGTACGAACGGATCCTGACTCAAAGTCTCGCGCTCAATTATGCTGTATGCAAATGAAAACATGGCTTCGGCTTGGAGCCACAGTTATTCCTTCCTAGACCCCCGGGAGGATCTAGAATGTAGATCCCTTAATTTGGGGCCCTATACTACTAAGGGTATTTTATAGGAACCCCATTGAGGGATCTACATTTTGGATCCTCCCGGGGGGTCTGGGTTGTGATTGTGGTGGAACCTTTTCGTCTCTCAGGGGTTTTCAAGGAAGCCGTCAAGTTCTTTCGTGACGTCAATTCATCTCCAATCCTTCTACCCTGAGCCGTACATCCTGTTCACGGTTTAGGGTTTATGAACCCTGAGCCTTACATCCTGAACCCCAGCTGATGCAAAACTAAACCCTACTATAGGGGCCTTAGTGATTAGAATAGGGTTTTGGGGCCCAATATACTATAACCAGGAGCCCCCAACTTAGTACAGGTGATTATTAAGGCCCCTATATGAAGCCCTTGGGCAGGCATAAAGCCTCCTAAAAACTCACCCCACTCTACACCCAAGCCGGTTCTAAGTTCATCAATGCCTATGGGATCTATTCAGCTCGGATGTTTCTGTTGAGGGACGGCAACCTGCTCATTGCACCCGGGCTCTAAACCCTAAACCCACACCGACGGTTGATGATATGAATCCTGCATTACCTTAAGGACCCTAGACTATGGGAAGTATGGTATATTCCTTATTGTGGGTAATGCAGGATTTATATGGGAGTTTCCGAAAATAGGGGACCCTAATATGGTACCCTAAATAGTAGGATCCTTATTACAAGGACCCCCAAAACAAGGTACCCCTAATTCCCGGAAACTCCCATATATAAGTCCCTAAAAAGGTAGGTTCCTTAGGGTCCAGGTATTCCTTATTGTGGGTACTGCAAGATTTATATCATCAACAGTGGTGAAGGTTTCGGGGTACGGAGCGCCTTGGGAGCTCTCTGCTGCTCGCACTTCTTCCCATGACTGGGCCTCTCCTCCACCACTGGTGACTAGGTGGGGCTTTTAGAGCCTTTGGAAAATGTTAGTAAATAAGATCCTCTTAAGCCCAATAAGGGAAAATATAAAATGTCCTAAAGCCCTACCTAGGTGACTAAGGTCCAAAGTGCCTACATCGGGTAGTAGGGGTTTGTGGAGAACGGAAACCCAAAGGGGCAGCACGCACCCTCGTTTTCCGTCCAAGCAGAAAGTCCAACGACCGTGACAGGTCGAACGTCCGCCCAGGACGGGCTGCGCGCAATTGCGTCGCGGCAACGAGAAGCTACCAACGACACACTGCCGTGCTCACTTGAGCCAAAAATGTTATGAATACGAATTACAGAAGAGCATGCATAAAAGCATACAGCACAACAGCCAGCCCGCAGACTATGTACAGTTACATTCGCCCCTCAGCCGAGAGCACGATAGAGCCGTAGGATTCCGCGGGCGGCCGGAGGCCGTAAAACTGACCTACAGACCCTGCCCTCCTACAAACCCTTCGCACTCAGCACAAGACCTTCGTTTTTCACGGCCTGTGCTGCACGAGGCTCTGGTTTCCTACTGTACACAGCCTGCGCCGCACTGCGGCCACAGGGCTGGTGAAACGAGCAGCTGAAGCTGCGGCGTTACTCCACGCGCTTCGGGAGCACTACCGTGCCTCCCTAGCCGCTCCCGTCAAAGACCTGTAGAGCGGATACGCCACCCTGTCGTCTCATCGGAAAGCAGCTAGGTGCTGCGACCAAAACTGAAGTTGCCACAGGTGGCTAGAAGGGCGGAGCGCAGTCCGCGACTTCTAGTCCACGGTCACTGCGGCTCCACGTTGGGTTGCGCGGCGGGCTGCTGGACATTTGAGGGTTTTGCCCGCCCGCGGTGGTTCCGCTGAGGTGCTTCGAACTCCTCGAGCTTCAGCGCCTTGGACCACTCGGTGCCAAACGAATCTAGCCACTTTTGGCTAAATTCAGAGGTCAGCACACTGGCGACCGCGATGCCGACCTCCGCGTTGGCCCGTGAACTAGCACTAAAGTTTAGGCTTCCTATCACGGCGCTAACTGTGGAGTCCGGCCTCGTCACGAGCACCGTCTTGGCGTGGTGGATGCCCGCGAGGCCTGCGCCGATGCTCACGTCCGTGCGGTTCTCGGCGGCGTAAGCCGCCTTGACCGAGGTGCCCTTGCCGACACGGACCTGGACGCCAGCCGCCCCTAGCTCCTTGAGGGACTGCAGCTGGAGCTTGGTCCGGCTCGTCTGCGAGTTGTCGGCAAGCACGTGGGCTCGGGCGCCTCGCTCCAGCGAGGACACGAGGGCTCCAACCAAAGGCTTGCTATCGAAGCTGTAGGCTCGCACGTAAACGTGGTCCCCATGCCCAGCGTCCGATAGCATCGTTTGTACCACAGCGTGATACTCCGGAAGGGTCAGAAACTTGACCCCGGCTCGCTCGAAGCCGTCAGGGATCGGGAAGTCTCTGACACGCCGTGCCTGGCTCGACATGGGAGCTGTCGGAGCCGGAGACGCCGCAGAGGTACCCTGGCGGGAAGCCTCCGCTGCAGGCGTCTTCGGAACAGTCTCTGTCGGAGGCGCCGACACTGTGGCCACCTCGTGGCGGCCTCTGAGCTTGGTAAAGCCGTCAAGGCAACCCTCGGACGGGTTCCCGACATTCCGAGCTCTTTCAGAGAGCGATCTCGCTTTCGACACCATGCCGGCAAGGCACCCCTGTTCCAGGGCCGGCGCGCCGAGGATCGCACGGGCGCGTCTAGTCGCGGCCGGGGCGACGGACAGCGTTGGGGCAGCGCTCGCGCCTGTCATGGCCACGAGTTGCCCCGCAGCTTCAACAGCGCGTTCTATGTGACCACAACGTCCCTCGTTGAGGAATGCCTTGCAGTCGCAGCCTGCGCCGTCCGCGCCCGACCCGACCTTCACAAGAACCCTGTGTGCTCCGGCCTTAGTCTTTGATGCAACCTCAAAGACAGCCTCCCGGCCTTCGAGCGACACCAGAACAGCATTCCCAAAGGGGTTACCGTTCATGGCGTGCATTAGCCGGTTAGTGGCGACACGTCCGGCCCACCACAGCACTACGGCCGCGAACGTCCACAGTAGGACGACGGCCGTCAAGCCAACCACGCGGACACCCCGAACGAGGATACCAGAGGATTCCTCGATGAGGTCCTCCGCCGCAGTGGCAACTGCAGTGAGGCTCACGTGTGCCACCTCTCTGGCACCGCGCTCAACAGTGAAGAGGGTAGGCGCCAGCGCAGCGGCCACCAAACCCGTCTTCCATCCAATGTTGCCCGTTGTGGCGTGGGCTGCGCGATTGCGCGCTCTCCTGGAGAGAGCCCAGCTGGAGACCGCAGCGCCTATCGAGCGCACGGCCCCAAGGAACCCACCACGGTTCGAGGGCCCG